CCCCAAAACCCCAAAACCCCAAAACCCCAAAACCCCAACTTATACCTACTTGGAGCGAATATTGCTTACTCGTATTTAGGATATGGATGCTTCTCTTGGAATTTAAAGCTATCCTCTAATATCTTCATTATGGCTAAGACCTGTTCGTCCTTGAAAGGCTTGCCAATGATCTCAAGCCCAAGAGGGAGGCCTTTAGAATCTTGCATCATTTGTCTGATCTTCTTTGTAATGATATCATTGAAAAGTTTGTCTTCATATTTTTGCTCATCCTCTTCAACAACACCTGTAGGGATAGTAGCGGATGGGAACTGCCAATAAATAGCTAGTCTTGCAGCAATAGGAGCTAGTCCGACTTCTTCAGCAACTTCAGGAGTCATCGCTGGGAATGCCATTGGAACAGTCAAGATAGCATCTAGTTTCTCATCTTGGAATATCTTTGAAATTTGAGACACGTGTCTATCTCTAGTTTTGCATAACTCTTTGAAGCCGTCTATATTTTAGTTTTTATATTTTAATACCTGCATCAAGCTTGATAAGCAGTTTCAGAGCATTGGAAGCCCTTGTTTCTCCGACCAGCTTTGTGAAGAATGATAAAGCTTTGGGTATGATTGAGTATCCATTATACATATTGACTAGTAAGTTAACACTTTGGAGATCGTCACAGTGGATATTATTCTCAATCCCTGCATAATGGCAAACTTGATTCACAAGAAGTTTTCCTTGAGAAGTACATTGCTCTTCAAACTCTGGAATCTCAATCTCTACAACCTCATGACCTAAGCGAGTGAGGTGTTCCCTTGCCTCTTGCAAGATTCTCTTCCCAGTCGGACAGAGAGTCAATACTTCATCGTAATTCGTAATAGTTCCAATTCTGAGCTTTTTGCAAGAAAGTGTATCTTCATAGATACTTTGATCAAACCTTAGCTTATAGTCTAGGCCATCCATCTTTAATTTCTCCTCAGAGAGGTATACTTTCATCAATCTCAACATATCGTCACTATTTTTAGTGATAGGCCCAAGCACTATGTTCATAGGGTGCATATCTCCCTTTTTAATCTCTGAATATGTCTCATTTCCATGACTTATTTGTCTTCTTGCTGTTGGCATGAATGACATGCAGCCGCAGAAGGAAGCAGGGCATCTTAGACTACCACCGAGGTCAGATCCTATCCCGAAATTTACACAAGTCAGAAGAGCTGCATCTCCTCCTGAAGATCCTCCACATGATCTTTTGTTGTTCCATGGATTTTTAGCAGTTCCCCATACCTTATTTGTGGAGTGGAGCGACAAGCAAATTGTTGGGGTATTTCCCTTAACTACTGGGATACCACCCTGATTTTTGTAAACAGCGACAATATGAGCATCTTCTTCAGAGATATTATCGATTCTAGACCCTACACCCATAGTATTAAGAGTTCCCTTCAGATTGATCTGATCCTTTACGGAAAATGGGATTCCATGGAGACAGCCTAGCTCTTCAAAGGGATCTTTTCCTTCAGCGAGTCATTGTTGAAGTTGCTTGTCTCTCTCTTTAGCCATTCTCAGTGCCTCTTCAAAATTTTCATCAGCTGTAATTTCAAGTTCTCTGCCTAATCTCTCAGTCCTCTCCACTGTATACTCCATCAGCCCCTGTGCTGTAATCTTTCCTTCAAACTGTGCCTTAAGCAGATCCACAATAGTCTCACAATCCTGAACAATCTTGCCTGCTTCCTCACCTAGCCCCACATATTTCCTCGGTGGCCGCTTTCCACAATCAGCTGCTTGCTTGTTCATCTTCCTCTGCTTCCCATAAAATCCCACCAATCCAAACACTTTCTTTACGACCAAAATCCCAACAAGTATGTAACACAAAGTACTCAGAGCGATCATTTTCAATATTTTTAACTATCAAAGGGGTTTTGGGGTTTTGGGGTTTTGGGGTTTTGGGG